GTGTGTGTGTGTGTGTGTGTGTGTGTGTGTGTGTGTGTGTGTGTGTGTGTGTGTGTGTGTGTGTGTGCAGACCTTGGCCTGTTGGTAGCGGGGTCACTGTAAGTCTCCTCAGGTCAAGAGTTTAATCCCACCGTAGCGTGGGGGCTCTGGAATATTTGACACATGGCGCAGACACCTAATCATAAGTGGCCGAGCGCAAAGGGGAAGTGGTATTTGGGGCCACTAGACTAAAATACCGTTTCCTTTTAAAGAATATATATGTATATATATATATATATATAGTCTGTGAATTTGTCTGTGCTGTTACTCACATTAATTCACCTAATGTCTAATTATACTCCATCCAGGGTTTATGATGATCTTCCTCTCTATGACATTCTAAATGAATTCCAGAAAGGCCATAGCCACATGGCTGTGGTTATTAAACACATAAACAATGAGGCAATCACGGAAAGAAGTAAGAGTAATGCATCTGAGAACAGAAAAGATTATAGTAAGAGACATGTGCAGGGTATGATTTATAAAGCACTCTCTTATGGTATTACTGATTATCTATAGTCTGGAAATTCACAGAACTTGATGCACTTTTTCAGATGGAACTCCAGCTGCCATCTCTGATCACGTGACTATCCATATAAATGGTTCCCCTGTGAATAATGGCATTGCTGAATCTCATACCCTTGCACTGAAAAGTAGCTTGGAGAAGCCGGGGGATACACGCTCGCTATCCAAGAGATCTGATCGACGTTCTAATAATATTCTTGACATTAAGGCGGAGTCTCTACCCAGCTATCGGTTTGATGAGGAAGTCGTGGGCATCATAACAATGGAAGACCTGATGGAAGAATTACTGCAGGTTAAAAATCATTTAGTTTTAACAGTTTTTTACCATTATTGTTTATAACATTTCATGAGATTACTTTACTGGAAACAGGGATTATGCATTTGTTCTTCCTCATATTGAGGAACTTTTTTGTTAGAAAGGAATGTGGGAGATGGGAGGAGTACTTCTACAATGATAGTTTTAGTATCATCTTACAAATCACCATTCTTTCCATTTTTGCTTGTCATAATCAAGTCATTCTGTAAAAGTGCATAATTATTCAAAAAATTGGAAAATTAAGGAAGCATTAGAATAATGCAAGATACTTGCATCATTTGCTTTTTGCTTTATTGGAAGATTTTATTTGTTTCTGTTACTCTGTATTTTTTGCTGAATGATTTTGTCTTTTTCATATTTCATTTTTTCTTCCTCTATCATTGATTTTTCAACTAACACTTCTGAATATTTAGAAAGATTGTATTGTTTTGACTATATTAGGTTTTGACAGAATTTCTGCAAACAAATCAACATTTTCTTTGTTGAGAGCAACTCAAATACTTGCTCACTATGTAAGCTTGACATTGAAAAAAAGGAGAGAGTTCCAGTTTTTGGTTTTGTTTTCACCAGTTAAATTATATGCACAGTAAATAAGTAAACAGTAATTATTTATTACTTTTAATGCTGAAACTTTAGCAGGTATGTGTGACAATCTTCTGAACCATACACTTTAATAAATAGAAGGACGTTTTTAAATAATAAGTTTCCTTTAGATGTATTCCTTGCTTAATCAGTTTATGAAAAAGTCCTCTTGATAATTACATATCCTTAGGAAGTTTTTTTATATTCCGTTTCTTTGGCAATACATCATATTATGCCGCTGGGGAAAACAAGTTTTGATCCTTCTTAGGCTTGTTTATGCTGCAGATTTTGCATGAAATTTTGCAGGCTCAGAGAAAACCCACAATTTAGCTTTGTGGTGATGTATAAAAATGCCCATACATTAAGATAGCTTGAAATGATTTTCCTTAATAATTTCTGGTAAACATGCCAGCTATTCTGTTTTTTAAGATCTTTTAGGATTATATTGAACTTTTTCATGCATAGAGGAAGTCTTGTTTTTAAGTTCTTATTATAATTCTAAAAGTTAGCATGGAAGGCTACTAAAACTTTAAATTGCTTCTGAAGGAGGAAATATTGGATGAAACTGATGAATACGTTGACGTCCATAACAAGTAAGTCTTATCTGTTTGTTTTTTATATTTGAATGTGTAAATTTCCATTAGGCTCATTACATGGATATTTTTGTTAATTATTTGACAGGATTAAGATAAATATGTTGCCTCCAAAAGGATCTTCCCCAAGGTCATTAGGACCTCAATCTCTTTCTCAATTCCTTCGACGGAGCCCAATAGCATCTCCGCACTCTTGCTATCATAGTTCGTCTCTATTACATTCACCTGTTTCCCCTATTTCTCAAGCTTCTGGATCAACAGCAGCCGTTGTAAGGGCAGAGCAAAGCGTTCCAGCTGAGACTGAAGGCATCAGGATCAGTTCTTCTAATACATATCAAGTAAGTACTGTGGTCTTGCTTCGGTTCTTTTACAAAATCTGCTATGCTCTTCAATTTTTGGTAATTAAAGTTTGATTAAATTCAGAGCATCATTTAACTACATCGCAGTTTGCAATTTAAATTTTAAAATTTGAAGGTTTTTGATGAAAGAATACAAGCCTTTTTATTCTTGAAAATGTGTTTTTTTTTCTTCTTTGAACAAATAAAGTGACACTACCCGAATGTTTGAGGGATCAGTTAAACCCTAATATCCATCATTTGATAATACATTCAAGTTCGATTGATGCTTAAAAGTAAAATATGCTAGAAGTTCATTTAATCTCATCTTTTATTACTTTTAGCAACTATGAAATTATAACGCACCAAAGCCCGAGGCATATTTACAATAAGTCGTCTAACTTTTTTTTCACTTTTGTTTCCTGATGTTTCATGTTAAAGCCTTGGAGTTAATATTATTTGTCATAGTTTGAACCTTGAATCTCTCCTTCCAGTTCAATATTCAACCCAATTTTTACAATCTTGTATTATAGTGTAATTGCCTCTTAGCTGCTCTAGTTCTCAAGTCAGTCTAATTTCTAATTTCAATTTTAAATCATATATAAATAAAAAAAAAGTTCAATCAGGATCGTCAATCCAGAATTAAACTTGAAAACAGTTTTGTGATTGTATAAGAAGTGCTAATGATGCTTGCTTTCTACTGCTTGGTGCTTCTGCAGGTCCTAAAAAAACAATAAGTATGGCTTCTTGGAGAAATGGACCAATTGATTTTTATTACTATCCATGGGGTAATCTCATCATTATAACCACACTTTACTCATTATAAGATGATTGTATAATTTTTTTTTCTTTTTGGTCTTTTGTCTTTTAATGGAGAAAAGGCTTTGTTGCTGGTGTTGTTTTGCTTTTTAAACAAAACTAAATTTAGTGTAGCATTGTAAGTTATGTAAGCTGTAGCACCATTTTGGTTGGTACTTCTGATCTTTAAGAGTATAATTTTTTAGTAATAGGCGTCAAGATTCATTGGTGCCTTTTGTATGTAGATCAGAGTAGAAAGATAATTATTTTGTTCATGGCTACTCTTTGATTTTTTTTTTCTTTCTTCATTTATGAAAAAAAAGAATGACAGAGAATTTGCTATAGATGCAAGGCAACCTCCAAATTAGTATCATTGGTTCCTCTTTAAAATAATTTGCAAGTTTTTTTCTTGTAAGAAATAACTATTTATAACTATCTTGAATGTACTTTTATTTGAAGGGGCATTTACATACATTCCACATATATTTGTATATATTTATATATTTAACATCTAAAAATTTATATTTAATCAGAAATACAAACAACTTCTAGTCCTAAACTCAACGGTTGGAACATAAAGACAAGAACAACCCCAAAAGAAACGGATGAAACTTCCTTCTGAAAGAATAATAAATCCTTAAAGGCGGAACGTGTAAGATAGACGACCAAACAATTTTAATATCGTAAAACCTCCAGGGAAAGCACCAAGCAAATCTAGAAGACAACATCTTTGATGCCATAAGAAAATAGGCCTCTGAAAGCACATCTAATCTGAATCCAAAACAAAAAAAAAGAAGAAGTTAAAAAGATGGAAATTAAAGAAGAGAGGATCGGAAG